ATGCATTCTGTTTTATGGAAGATAAGCAAACGAACATCGAACAACACTTGGATAGATGCTTACAATAAACCCAGTCGATTAAAAACTAAGGAACTGAATGTCTCTCACCCAGGTTTAACGTGCTTAAAGACAAGTTGGCCCAATCTCTCAGGGTGGACGGCAACTCTGTGCCATTGAACAGCACAGCGATCGGCGTATTGCCTCGGGTCCTCATCCTCGAATGGCCTCCGATTGTTACGGATTCCACCAGTCCCCAAAGAGAACATAGTAATAAGCCGACCGCTACTCAACCGCTTCTGAACCGGGCTCTGCCCTGCCTGCCCAACCAAAATCGCCTGGAAAGAGTACACTGCTAGCTAATAAATCAAAAGGGGATAAACGGGGAAATGAAAGAGCTTACGTCAACACGAGAACAATCCTAATAGTTCTCGCATGAATGTACCTTGTAAACCCCAATATCTATGCCGTTCTCTAGGGGCCTTTGCTGTGCAGGTCGTCGCTGGTTCGAGTCCGTGGAGGACGACGATGACGACGGCGAGGAGGAGGAGGAGGAGTTTCTGTCAAATCCGGGGCTGGAATCTTCCAGGTTAGGTACATCATTGGAGGCAATATTTGTGCAGAAACTCGTTGAATGCTGAGAGGGTTTTGCAGTGAGTATAAAAGAACGAGACAGCCTTCTCGATAAGGAAGCCATGGAGGACTACGCTGATGGTTCTTCTTTGCCGGTTCTCGCTTTGGCGTTGGCCTTAAACCCTCGAACACTCGACGTGTTGTCTCTCTGATAGCAAGAGCCCGTGCACAGCAAAGGAGAACACGGTGCCGCACTCAAACCGGGCTAAAACGAAAGAGAGCGGATACTACTTAGGCAAAATTCCACTAGGGTAGTGTGAGGTTAGGCTTGCTATTATCGCCACATAGGCATTGGCGTTTATTGAAACAATTCAAATAAATGATAGAAAATTGAGACGCTTTGATACGGGGCATTTATGAAAATATAAAATTCTTGTTTCTCCGGATGCCCTAGCATTTCTTGAAACTAAATGCTAGTGTGATAATTAATCTGAAATGAATAAAAAATATTTAAAGTGAAGTTCAACCAAACAAAAAAACATTAAACATTTAAAATAAAAAAGTATAAATAAATGTTTAAAGTGAAAATGTACAAACAAATGGGGTATTCATGAACGCCCACGGAACCAAATACATACTTTGTATATCCAAACTTTCAAACGTGTCACTGCAATATCTAAATTTTTTAAAAGTGTTAAATTGATCCTTGTTGTTAATCGACCGTCAGTTATCTATTCAAAATGTCAAAACTACCCTTCAAAATAAGACATTATTCATTATCTTCTGCCTTGATACTAGACCGGTTATCTTCAAAGAAAAAAAAAGAAAGAAAAAAATATGAAATATAATAAAGTGAAACAATGATTGGAAGCAAAGAAATAACTAAACAATAATGTGTTTCAAATCTAAAGGTATAAGACAATGACTTCATTAATCTAGAATCCCAAACACCTCAACCAGTTCAATCTCAATGTATAAGACAATGAATATTGTCTTCTTTTAAAGAATAATTTTAACATTTTCAATAGATAACTGACGATCGATTAACGGTAATGACCAACTTGACACTTTTTTGAAAATTTAGGTATGCTAATGACACATTTGAGTTTAGGTAATAACTTGATGGTACCCCAAAATTCATGATACTAATTAGAATTTTCCCAATATATATTATATTATTATGAAATTAGTGTTATCTCCATCTAGTAAATGGAATATACTCGTGCGAGTATATCAATTGTCTCACGTGCAAGCATTTCGTGTGTATAAAATGACCTCAAAATAAATAGGTGCAATGTGTAAAGTAAGCTCTCGACATGTGCAATATCTTTCTCCTCTTTCTCTCTCTCACACACACACACACAATTGGCAAGTCAAAGCGTCAATGGCACAAACCACACCCAACAATAGGATCGGAGGGCCGACCAATTAGTGGAACCGAGTATAGCTAATGTCAAGTAGTGCCAGGTGGAACTAGCATAACCATGATTCTCAATGCCCCCTTCACAACAACCTCCTCGTTCTCGGCTACTGTTGTTGGTGGCTTTTTGGCTCTCGATTGTTGTCGCTTTTCATCGCTTATGTTTTTTTTGTTTGGCAATGATGATGCACGATCTGGAAGCTCCTAGTTGGAGGTCTGCCTGTATGTACTTGCATGTCAAGCTGGATCAATCTACAAAATAGTGCTCAGAGGGACCGGGGTGGAAGACCTGGTGAGGTCGCTCCGATGCTTAAGTCAGTACTCGGTGTGTTTGAAAGCTAGTATGGGTGCTAGAGAGCTTGAATGTGAGTAATCGTGCGTACCTGGACCCTGGAGGGGCTAATGCCCTTATATAGCTGAGCTATCATGGGTCTCGCGAAAACGGTTCCGGGATTTTTGACATGAGTGGATGAGATCCGTTTCCGCTTTAGTCGGGAGGTAACGTGCCAGTCAATGAAATTTATCGTCGCCACCCGATCTGGGCAGGGAGAGGATAAGGCCTGTCATTACGCAGTGTGATCCCATGACATTCGAAGCCCGCTGGGAAGCTTCTGGAGTCGATTATGTGTCACTTCGATTCTTAGGCCTCAAACTGGATTAGGCACCAAAGTGCCTTTATCCCGAGGTGATTTTATGCTGAGGTGGCTTTATGCCGAGGTGGTCGAACATCCGAACTCTGTAAACTATTGACTAGGCTCCCCTTGTTAAGTTGTCATTCTACAAGCAAATCGCGTCCACGTGACCTTTACTTACTAGGTCGTGCCAAATTACCCCTCATCAATTTTCCCCCACTCCTCGTGCCAAGGGTCCTGACCCGGTGCGGGGAGTTCATGACGAGCCCAGGTGGATTTGGCACGAAGTCTAGGTGATGTGGAGGGCGGGTCGTTGGTCGAACTTGTTTGACTATTAGGCTCAACCAGTAAGTGACCCAGATCGCGTATCAAGTATGCGCGGACGTCAAGCCGATTATAGTCTCTGCGGATGTCAAAATGTGCGCTAAACTGATTTCAACCTCAAGAGGCGTGCAGCCGGTTTTCCTAGGAGTCGTTGGATCGTGTAGATCTTGATCGTTGATTCCTGGATATACTAGTTAAAAATAGGGGCCAAAGGGCCCATTTTCTTCGCCACAAAACTATGAATCCAAAATCCTTGAGGTCGCGTTCAAGTATCCCAGTTCAGTGTCAATTATTCCTGGGTCCGAGGTCGTCTCGCTTTCTTCGGTCTTCTTTTGGTGAGCCCGTCTCCCTTTGCTTTTTGAGTTCGTTATCCTTTCCATTAATATGTCTAGCCTTAGCTTAGATAGCCTTATAGATGGGAGCGGTGAGTCCGTTGGGGCTGAGGTGGGTACCTCGGCACAAATCGTGGAGCATCATCCTGCCGAAGTGGGCACTTCAGCACAGGATGCGGACTCCGATCCATCCGAGGCAAGCTCACCTTGGCGAGAGTGAGAAGCTTCTGGCAAATCGGCCTCCACCTCACACCGAGGTTGTTTGCCAGACAGTTTCGGTCTGACTACAATGACAGCGGATAGGCTTCTATCCTTAGTAGCTCTGGTACAAACTCCCCAATGACTTTGTAAATAGCCTTTCCTTAAGCAACTTTCCTTGGGATCATGGTCGCAATGAGATCGTGGTCTTCGAGGAGCAGCTCGTAGCCGGTCTGTGTCTTCCACTCCACCCTTTTATAGTCGAAGTTGTTAAATTATTTGACATTGCCATATACCAACTACACCCGAACTCCATTCGTAACATCGTAGGTACCATTTCCCTTTTCCACGATTACAACCGTCCCATAGACCTTGACATATTCTCTTCGATCTTTTCCATCAAGAAGAACTCATCCTGTGTTCTACCCGAGCACAAGCGAAGTTACTATTTGTCCCCTTGCCCCGGGTACAAGCTGTTGCACGAGCTCCCTAACAAGGTCCCAACCTGAAAGAGGCACTACTTCGTGGTCTGTAACACTGATGGGTGCCCTTTCCCGACTCATTGGAGAGCAGCCATCTAGGACCCCGACGTCAGACTGGACCCAAAGACAAGGGAGTTCGAAAACTTCGTGACCGAGGAAAAACTCGTGCAAGCGTTTTAAGCCCTCCTGGTAGGTCGCTACTTGTTGTACTTTTTTCGTTTATTTTACTTTAGTGTTGTATTTGACTTAGTTCGTTACTTGTCGCAGTTGCCATGGATGACATCCCTGCCGATGAGCTCTTCGGGAGCATGCAAAAGGAGAAGAAGAAAAAGATGGCCTCCAAGAAGGCTCACCTCCATACTGAGACTACCACCACTGAGGTCGCCGCCTCTGCGCCCAAACACCCACTCGTCACTGAACAGCCTCCCGTAATTGATTTGGTTGACGAGGACCCGGACAAGGCCACTCCACCCCGCGTACCAATGACCGCCACCTCTTTGGGCAACGATACTTCAGTTCGGAGCATTTTGACTCCAAAGTTTGGCCTTCTCAAGAGCAAGGACGCGGTGTTTGCCGATGAGGTCGCTCATTGGGCTGACTTGCTGGTTGCTCAGCTCGGGGCCCGAGCGGCCACACATTGTATGGTGGTATGTACTTAAACTTAGCCTTTAAGTTGCCTTATACTTAGATTTTTCTGCATACTAATGCTTGTTTTCTTCTTTTGGCAGGTGAACTTCTCTATCCACGCCTTGGCCTATCAATCCGAGGTGAACATAAAGCGAGCTCTCGACGCCGAAGAGTCCTCCCAAAGTGCCCACTATGAGCTCAACTTAGCTCGCAACGAGATCAACAAGCTGAAAAATGACACGTGAGCTAAGAATGAGCTACTGACTCTACTGATGACGGAGAAAAAGCAGCTCAAGGAGCGCGAGGCAGCACTGGAGAGGGAGAACGAGAACCTCGACTCACGTGAAAGAGTGAACAGAAATCCTGCTTCAGGTGATGGAGGAGGCCAAGGTCAAGGCGGTCGAGGAGTATAAGCCTTTGGCGGAGCTTCGAAAGAGATTGGTCGCGGTTGGGACAGCGGGCTACCGCAAGGGGTTTAAGCTTAGTAGGTGGTTGACCCGGCGTGAATTTCCCCACCTTGACCTCAGTGCCATCACCACGTCCAAGATCACCAAGGAGATAGCCGTTGAAGCTGCCAAGGATCCGGACTCCGAGGTGGAAAGCGACGACGACCTCAATGACAAGACGACGGGAGAGGGAGAGGAGGCAGATGTTGCCGAGGATCGCATCAAGAGATATCCGCCTACTAAGGCCTCCATTGGGGATGAGGAGGCCCGAACTAACTGATGCCTCTTTTCTTGGACCCCCCTTGTAAATACTTGATGTTCTGAGCCTCCAAGCTCAGCTAAACAATTGTGATATTTCTCTCTCTCTCTCTCTCTCTCTCTCTCTCTCTCTCTCTCGCTTTTTTCCTTTTCTTTTTACTATGTACTCAAAGCATTTTATCAATGGAATACAAGTACTCTACAAACTCCTTGTGTGCAAAAATTTTCCGAAGTATAGATTTTTCTTGAACTTGAATAGGAACAATCATTATTGTATGTCGGGGTGAGCAAACGCTGTAGGGTATGCATGCCCGACCTGTTTGCGCTCGGGCTAATTTGTCCTACCTATGCCAAAGCGACTGGGTTTTAATGAGCCCGTGCTGGAGAGGCGACTGGGTCATAAACAGTCTATGCCGAAGAGGCAATTAGGACTTCTCTGCCCAAGCCGAAGAGGCAACTGGGACGGAGTCTGCCTGTGCCGAAGAGGCGGCTAGGACTTATTGTAGTGTCGAGATCTTCTGTTTGCTTGGCATCGGCACCGTGGCCCTTAGGCTTATGGGAGTGACTCATAGTCCTCTCTCCAGCTCGTCATCTTTTTGAC